GCAAATTATCAAAAAGTATGTAACTGTTTTGAAGGATTAAAGTACAATTACGGAAAAGCACTATTTTATGTGCAACAAATCGAAATGTTTGATAAATGACGTCGCAACTGACAGTTTACATGTAAAAAGCGGCGAAATTCGACATTGGACATTCATGCAAGACATTTGCCAGAAGCCGTTGCATTTTTATTTGTGGTGTGAGGGCTGTAAAAATTTAGTTTTGAATTGGTCTATCTATGTACTTTTGTGAGCATGATTTATGAGAACGAAATTTCACATATTTCAAGAACCTATAAATTTTGATATCTTACCATTTTTCCGAAATAAACCACGGTGAAGACTATTTATTTTTGCCAAAAATAGCTTTGGCTTTTGCATCAACGCAAATTCAGTAATTACGTAGTACTATATATATGACGCATATCATTCATGCGAATTTTCGAGGATTTTACTGTTTCGAAGAGCACAAACACTCCTATAAAATGTATTATGCGTATAACGTGAGGGTACCAAAATTGCACCTAATTTGACAGTGTTTTCACCTACGTTTATTTATGATGAAGATAAAAGTTTTGATTCTGTGTTTATTTTGTAGATGTATCCTTATTTACTATATAGTTCCACCAATTCAATTTTGAATCCATATTGAATCATAGGAAAATGGGTTTAAACCGACCTCCAAACGATCCATGATTCTGTAATGAGGAGTACCCAAATTGCATCCATGCTTAAATTCACATCCTTAAAAATCGAATAACTAATGTTATGTTTTATATCTCCAAATATATAGAGCAATTTGACAATAGTCCATACTTTCTGTTAATTTTTTAAGAAATGGATGGTAACATATTTTGATTGCTCATTTTTAAAAGTTGACTTTTTGTGGACGTCGCATAGCGACGTTTACGTAGATTTTACTTTTTCCAGTATTATAAACACTTCATCTGTTGATATATACTGTCAACGTTTTGTGTATATTTAAATATATTTAGCTATGTTGAAAGACGTACATAATGTCAAATCATAAAAATACAAAGTGTTTAGTCACTGGGAAAACTTGTAAGATTTGCGCTGCTATTTTTGCTAAATGGGTGCAATTTGGGTACTCGGTGCAATTTGGGTACTGTGACGTTAGTCTGTTACGTCTGACACGCATATCTTTGACGTTTTGCCAATATTTTTGTCCTTATTTTAGACTATTGTAAAATGTTATAAAACAATTTGTTGATGTTTTGGAAACAGAAATAACTGCCTAGTCTGTGGGGGGCTAGGATGAAAATTTTGTCCTGCATTTTTTTTAGTTGTAATCTCTGTCCTGCCTTTTTATTTTTCGCTCTATTCGGTCCTGCATTTTTTTAAATAGTTTATTCTGACTTTTTTTACATAAATTGTCATCCTGCCTTTTTTTTTTTGCCAAGTTGCTCATCCTGCCTTTATTTTTTAACTCAGTCAAAACTACCGTCCTGCCTTTTTTTTTTTAATTTCATCCTAGCCCCACCCCTCTAAAAATCAAATGGTAGCTCCCTAACGTGCGTAACGTCAGTGCAAAGACGCACAGGCATACTACATTGTATTGAATGGAAATGCGTGTGACGTCAGAGAACTAATAGTTATTCTTTAGTTTTGTGGCGGCAACTAGTGCCTATTATTTTTTTTATATTAAAATCTAAATGATGTATAATTCCGACTTCATTTTGTCACTATAGCAACCTCAGTTTTGTGTTGTCTCCATAATGAACATTATTTGGTGGTTATTTAAAATTTCAAATAATCCATTGATATCGAACCTCCGTACATAATTCTTTTTTTTTTCTCATGTTAAACAGAAGATTTGTATCTATCGATTAAAGATTCTAAAGTTTATGATTCTTTTTGTTTTGATATTAAAAAGTATGATTTATTTCATAACCGCCAAAAAGTAATAATTAAAAAGAAAAAAAAAAAAAACGTTACCAGTTTTAAAAAAAATCTACCGGTGATTCTTTCATAAAAATTTCAAGATGGAACGTGCTATGTGTACTCTTTTAAATAAAGTCCAAAGAAATGTATGTCACCGCGACCTTTCAATAGGCTGTTTGGTCTTTAAGTCTACGTCAAGGCTTTCCGTTTTAAAATCGGAATACTCTCAACATAGGATATTCAATAAGTTAATAAAAATTATCCCGGTAACATATCCGATACGCATATGTACATCAACAACTTTCCAAAAATTTAATTGTAAAAAGTCACTTTAAATACTACGTAACGACCACATCAATTTACCATAAAAAGTGTTTTGGTAAAAATATACCTTGTGTGTACGTTTCAGCTTTCTTATACCATCTTGTTCATGATTTATACATACTTTTTCCTGATACAAAAACCAATAATGCAAAACTTAACCAGAGATTAAATTATTAAAAGGTAAAAGTGATATTCAGTTGTATACAGTACGTACATTTTAACTGTTCCAAGTCGTTATATTTCAAATCATCTTGCAGAAATTCAGATTTACCAGAACACAGGAACGTCCCAATATTCAAGAGGAAGCACACCAAGTAAGTTGTAACCATAATGTTTGACAATGAAGGTTTAGAGATAAGAACTTGTTTTATAACATTAGGATTAAAAAGATAACCTTTCGTCAATAGGTTAGTCCAACAGCACATCACATCACGATTTTGAACCTACTAAATATACTACTGTCATGTTCTCTCTTGACAGAAAACACAATCGTCTTACGGCCTGTTATCGTACCAGTTATAGGACAAACCCCAAATGAACGCATTTGACTAACAGGTCGAACAACTGATGTTCTTAAACCCTATATATATATATAAAAATTGCGGTTTTTATCCAACGCAATCATAGGTTTGAACGTTGTTTTCAATTTAGACTTGTTTATATTTTTTCGTTTGGGCTTGTATTATATTTGCCTTCGGGTTTATATGATCCGTTCATCCTATTTTGACTCCTCAAAATTCAAGAGTCTATCCTAAATTGAGGTAAATTATGTGGCCTTCCAATAACCGTTTCGATCCCTAACATCACTGAAGAGACATTAATTGTCGAAATCCGGATATGGTGTACAAAAAATCTTTGCTCCTTTGTTTGCGGTATACCATGTTCGCCGCAAGTTTATTGTTTTCTGTTTTGTATTAAATTTATAGTTAAGATCCATTTATTACACCTTGTGATCCGTTTATTTGGCAATCGCCAATGGCAGTCAGCAGGATTTAAGAACATTTGTTGTTCGACCTGTTAGTCAAATGCGTTTTGTTAAAATATACTTTTTCACTTTTTTGGTCTTTTGGAAAATGTTGTTTGTGCTGTATTTAGACCCCTCGAACAAGAAATTTGTTTTGCATGCACACGTATAAAAATTGCGGTTTTTATCCAACGCAATCATAGGTTTGAACGTTGTTTTCAATTTAGACTTGTTTATATGTATATGTAACAAAATGGATCTTATTATTAATTTATTACCAATTCTAATATGACGTGCTTCTTTCGCTTTGTAAACAACACCGTGATAAAATTCTCGATAGATATCTATACTTAGCGCAGACTCAGAGATGTGCATATTGGTGGCTGTTACTATTTACTATTTACCTCCCACGTAGATCCACATGCATGTATATAATATAGATATAAACTATTTATATGTTTAAACTTTGTTTATGAAAGAAAGTATAACAAAAATACCGAACTCTAAAATGACAGCAACAATACTTGATTCAAACCAAAAGGTTTTGTTTCATTCAACAAATACTATTGTTACAATGTCAAGGTTCATAAATTAAATCTTAGTAAATTTCATTATATAACGGAACAACAGAGAAAGAATGTAGCCAATAACATTGCACGTTTTTATTGAACGCCTCCCTCGTGTATAAATCTGATCCTTTTGCAAATGTTTGGCTGCATTCATTACTTTAGAGTGATCCAGTTCGTCTGCTTGTATTATATGTTTGGCATCCATTAGTATATGTACATTGATATTGAGATTCGCTGACCAAACATTATTATCGAAACATACAATTAGTGTAAGGTTGATGCTAGTGCATGGAAACGAAGAATAAAAATCGGTAATAACGTCTAGATCAATCGGACCAATCATAAAAAAAACCATCAAAAACACAAAAAACCTGCTTGCATGACAAAAGGCATAACGTATGGACCGAAAAGGTATGGATGTTCAAAGCGACAATTACATGATCAAAATGTATATATGACATTCTCAAGCACTAAACAGAAAATCAACAAGTACACCTCCAACGGATTAAGTCTGTTATATATACCATATTTCTTCTTTCATGGTAGAATAGTTTATGCCATGCTGGTTCTATGTCCTTTAGTATGTAGTAAAGGCTGAATTCTTATTTGTACATTACAATGCATGAAAAAATCAAATAAATACGTGAAAGAAACCAAAGGGTGACTGGGGTATCAAAACTTGTCACATCGATCTTCCTTCAACCGCTAGTAAAACCCTTGCCAAAGTATGTATAAAATCGATGACACGTCTGGTCAGAACGGGAACTTTACATCCAATGTACTTTAAGGAGAGAGGGCTACGCTCTCTGCACGTTTGAGGACCTTGCAACAACTCTTTGATAGATCTGAAGGTGGCATGTTACAAGAGCATAACTTCTGCCCCTATCCGACATACCATTGTTTTCCAGAATCAGTCGAACTGTCCAGCTCTTTACCTTGACGTCCCATCTGCAGTTCCTACCTATATGTTGTATTAGCTGTTAACAGTGTTTGTCCTGAATATGCATGAACTAATGCGACTGGGCGTTAATTATGTAACAATCAATCAGTTAGTCATTCGCAACTAAAGATGATTATGACTGCAGAACAAAATAACTTTGTATAGAAAAATTTCCTTCATTTATTAAAATACCAAAAGCTTCTCTTGTACATGTTCCTGATGTACATTTGCAGTTAGTTGTATAGACGTATTAACAAATTCCCTTGCGCAAAAAAGCATCACAAAAATTTATGGAAAGGTGTAATCAAGGAAGTTTTTTAAACTTGGTGACTATGCAACCGAGCATGTCAAGAAAAACTATTATAACTGTAATAAGACAAATGAAGACGACGCCAACATATCCTACGGATGCCGCTGATACACGATCATCTGGAGCTGATATCTTGGAACGACGCATCCGGGTTGTATTGGATTTGTTGATACTTAGTTCTTTTTTCATTAGGTCTAATTCTGGCTTCAGTATTTCTCTTAATTGGTCAAGAGTCAGATTCATTCCATGTAAGAAATCCCATTTGCCTTTTCCAACCTTAGAACAGGGACATAGGCATTCCAGTGGTCTGATTGGTTGAACAGAAGTGACCTCGGACATTTCCAACATTTTTGTCGTTTTCATAGATGTCACTATAGATGCTCCCGGTTTTGTTATTTGTAAGGTGATTATTGTCGAATTTCCAGGCGTTGTCATGTCGGTAGATGACACTTTTGATTGACCAAGTGTTATAATTTCTGTTGATTTCACTGTAGATTGTCTAGGGGTTGTCATCTCTGTAGTTTTCACTGTAGAATGTCCAGGTGTTGTCATTTCTGTTGATTTCACTGCAGATTGTGTAGGGGTTGTCATCTCTGTAGTGATCACAGAAGAATGTCCAGGTGTTGTCATTTTGGTAGTTGGCACTGTTGCTGTTAGGACTATAAAAATATAAACAATCCAAAAATATTACAACTCTCTATAAATTTTATGCGTCCAAAGTGCATCTTTTTGCCAAAAAATTGAAAGCCAAGGATATTTAAGTATTGACACACGGATGATGTAAATTGCATGATATAACAACGTGTAGATTGCACCCCTAATAATATGGTATTGCGAAAAAGAATGTAAGCTAAAAAAAACTAGTATTCCTTCATTCATGAATTTAGAATAAAAAAAAAATCGAAAACATAGGCCTCGATCTGAACGCTAAGATATAGCGACGATGTTTATAGATTATTCAAGAATTTATATCTTTCATACTTTTATCAATGCGAAATAATATCTGAAAAGACCCCTAAAACAATAATGATTTCTCATCTTTAAAAACCCTGCGTATTAGCAATTCAGTTTAAGGTAATGATAAGCGGATACATAAGAACAGTCAGTTGAAAAAGTTAAAAAAAAATGTAATCCTGGTATATATGATGAGTTTATCTACAAATAGACGATTACATATCTGACAGATAATAAAAAAAAACCATTCACGATATGACAATGTCAATTTCAGTTCTCAAATAAATACTCAATTAAAAACTTACAGCCCTGAAATAAGTGCATTTTACTGATATGTGCAGTATTTTCATTTGCAAGTTTCACAATAAACCAGTTAGCCATTGCGTTGTCAGTTTATTTTCGACTTATGAGTTTGGATGTCCTCTGGTAATTTTTAGCCTCTTTTATAAATGCAACAACAGCTCCAAATCTAATGGCTTGCAACCTTCAATGGCATTCCGTCTCAGGCATGTACAAACAGATAGTAAAGCAAAAATTTAAGGTGTCTTAATGTTTATAGGTCTTTTCTTTTTTATGCATATGCAAATAAGGATCCAGATTTAGAGAACATGGAGATTAGAATTTAGTGTCGAATCCTTACAGGTGGCATGAATGAGTCTTTTATCTACTCCTTTTTATTTACTATCAATGGATATGCTAAAAGTACAATGTTATCTCTTTTTCGGTGCCACTTTTATTTTAGTGCTTTTATCCCCGTTGGTTTTTCTTGTCCTCTTTCTGTCTCCTAAATAATTCTTTTTATATACTATCAATAAGAATGTTTAAAAAGAAATATACTTTTATGTGCTAATTAGCCCAATGTTATTTTTCTGATTTAAAATATTACATTCGATAATTTGTTTCAGCAGGAGAAAGTAGAATGGTCCCTGTATGAATATAAAAATAAGAAAATGGGGTATGATTGCCAATGAGACAAGTCTCACCAAAGACCAATCGATAGCTAATGAAGAATGATTTCGATTTGTGACTATTTAACAGAGGCATACTACTGTTGCCTTTATTGAACCCGACGAGAACAACTCAATGACAAATGCATAATTCAATACCAACGGGGCGCGTCTAAAATCACTTTGCCTTAAAAAAAACTGAAAAAAACTAGCAACAATCCATTTCACAGAAAAGTAACGATTGTGTAACATGAACCCTATCAACAACGTGTTAGATGATCCAGAGGGAAAGCTGTTCCTGATCCACTTGTTCTGCTCCCTGTTAAACTCATTGCGAGTAAAATGCGGTTGGAAAAACCAATCAGTAATGTCTCAGTCTAGGGAAAACATACGCTATTGTGTTTACGATAATTTGACAATACCTATAATCAACCAAATTTTGAAGGCGTTCGTTAAAAGGGTGATTTTCAGCCTGTGTCTCTTTTTTTTTTTTTAAATATAGCTACATTGTTGATAGAAAACGCAAGCCTGTATTAACTGGAAAATGTTTATTCCTCAATACACCTTATCGCTATTAAGTCTATTACGAAAAAAAAAAAAAACAGTTATGTAGACAACTTCATGTTTGGGTCCAATATTGCAAGAACAAAAGTCATCAACAGTGAGCTGAGCAAGGAAAAAGTTTGGAAAGTGAACATTTTAAAATTTTGATAGTTTATGCGAATCTGATGCGACTTTCATACAAGTGAGAGGTTTAGCGCTATATAACCAGGTTCAATCCACCATTATCTACATAAGAAAATGTCTGTACCAAGTCAGGAATATGACAGTTGTTGTCCATTCGTTTGATGTGTTTGTGCTTTTAATTTTGCCATTTGATTAAGGACTTTCCGCTTTGAATTTTCCTTGGAGTTCAGTATTTTTGTGATTTAACTTTTTATGAAGCAATTTTTAAAAGACAAATTAAAGTCATTAAAAATGTTTCGTTTGATGTGATTTCTGTCTCTTAAATAATTCTTTTTATATACTATCAATAAGAATGTTGGAAAAGAAATGTAATTTTATTTGCTAATTAGCCCATTGTTATTTTTCTGATTTAAAATCTTACATTCGATGATTTGTTTCAGCAGGAGAAAGTAGAATGGTCCCTGTATGAATATGAAAATAAGAAAATGTGGTATGATTGCCAATGAGGCAAGTCTCACCAAAGACCAATCGATAGCTAATGAAGAATGATTTCGATTTGTGACTTTTGAACAGAGATAAACTACTGTTGCCTTTATTGAACCAGATGAGAACAACTCAATGGCAAATGCATAATTCAATACCAACGGGGCGCGTCTAAAATCACTTTGCCTTAAAAAAAAAACTGAAAAAAACTAGCAACAATCCATTTCACAGAAAAGTAACGATTGTGTAACACGAACCCTACCAACAACGTTTTAGATGTTCCAGAGGGAAACCTGTTCCAGTTCCACTTGTTCTGCTCCCTGTTTAACTCATTGCAAGTAAAATGCGGTTGGAGAAATCAATTAGTAATGTCTCAGTCTAGGGAAAAAAATACGGGATTGTGTTTACGATAATTTGACAATATTTATAATCAACCAAATTATGATGGCGTGCGTTAAAAGGGTGATTTTCAGCCTGTGTCTCTTTTTTTTAAAATACAGTTACATTGTTGATAGAAAACGCAAGCCTGTATTAACTGGGAAATGTTTATTCCTTAATACACCTTATCGCTATTTAGTCTATTACGGGAAAAAAAACCAGTTATGTAGACAACTTCATGTTTGGGTCCAATATTGCAAGAACAAAGGTCATCAACAGTGAGCTGAGCAAGGAAAAAGTTTTGAAAGTGAACATTTTAAAATTTTGATAGTTTATGCGAATTTGATGCGACTGTCATACAAGTGAGAGGTTCAGCTCTATATAACCAGGTTCAATCCACCATTTTCTACATAAGAAAATGTCTGTACCAAGTCGGGAATATGACAGTTGTTGTTCATTCGTTTGATGTGTTTGTGCTTTTAACTTTGCCATTTGATTAAGGACTTTCCGCTTTGAATTTTCCTCGGAGTTCAGTATTTTTGTGATTTAACTTTTTATGAAGCAATTTTTAAAAGACAAATTAAAGTCATTAAAAATGTTTCGTTTGGTGTGTTTTCTGTCTCTTAAATAATTCTTTTTATTTACTATCAATAAGAATGTTTGAAAAGAAATTTAATTTTATTTGCTAATAAGAAACTATAAGCAATAGGTCAACTATATTTATTGTATTGAATGATTGTAAGGTGTACATGTATTTCTTGTCTGGTTTATATGATTTTGACCGCATTTTTTTTAAAGCTTTATATTTAGGACTATCAACATAATATCAATGATTAATAAAGAAGGCCAGACATTTCAGCTTGTGCACTCTTGTTTAATGCAGGGAATTGGATGACATAAATGAGACACAATATGCCAGGAGTATTAAGATTATTTGCCATTTTTGTCTCGCCTTGGTGGAGTCAAAAAGTGAGACATAGGCATACTGTCTCCTGCGGGGCGTTGTTAACAATGTATTAGTTTAGTCCTAGTTTATGGTGAACCACAAGTGGTAGGTCAATCATATTTGGAATGCAGTTGTGTTAGCATTGGCACATCTCATTTCCATGGAGATCATTTGACCCTGCCATTCAGTCATGGTCTATTGACTGAAACTTTTGCTTATTTTACATGTATTAGTTTGTGATTTATAGGTCAGTTTATGGGGAGCCAATATTGGTAGGTCAATGATATTTAGTATGCAGTTGTATAAGCATTGGCATATCTCAATTCCATGGAGATTATTTGACTCCGCTCCCTTAGTCATGGTCTATTGACTTTGAAAATTTTGCTAAGTTAACATGTATTAGTTTGTGATAAGGTCAGTTCAAGGGGAACCATTTAGGGTAGGCAAATGTTAAATGGTATTCAGTTGTATAAGCATTAGCACATCTTATTACCATGGAGAATATTTGGCCCCATCCCCTCAGTCATGGTCTATTGACTTAGAAACTTTTGCTTAGATTACATGTACCTGTAGATCAGTTTTTGATGCTTATGATTAGTCAATGAAATTTGGTATGCAAATGTATTGGCATTTGTAAGTGTTGTTTCCATGAGATTATATAGCCCCCCCCCCCCCTTTTCATGGTTTAATGACTTTGTCGAAAAAGTGAGACATAGTGATCCTACATTCTGTCGGCGGCAACCACAAATATTCACTCTGTGGTTAAAGTTTTTGAAATTTTAATAACTTTCTTAAATTATCCTGGATTTCTACCAACTTGGACAGAAGCTTGTTTATGATCATAAGATAGTATCCAGAAGTTAATTTTGTAAAAAAAAAATCCTGTTTTTCCGTATTTTACTTATAAATGGACTTAGTTTTTCTGCCAGGAAACATTACATTCACTCTGTGGTTAAAGTTTTTCAAATTTTAATAACTTTCTTAAACTATTCTGGATTTGTACCAAACTTGGACAGAAGCTTGTTTGTGATCATAAGATAGTATCTAGAAGGAAATTTTGTTAAAATTTTGTACCTGTTTTTCCGTATTTTACTCATAAATGGACTTAGTTTTTCTTCCAGTTAACATAACATACAGTCTGAAGTTAAAGATTTAAAACATTAATTAAATTCATAAACTATCCTGGATTTTTACCAAACTTGGATCGAATTAAGCTTCTTACAATCAAAAGATAGTATTGAGAGGAATATTTTTATTAATTTTTTCCTCATTTTTGTTGAGCCTGCGATTAACAGCAAAAATAGGCGAGACACTGGGTTCCGCGGAACCCTTACAAATTTTATGTTTATGTGATAGTTGTAGTAAACCTTTATATTTAGGACTATCAACATAATATCAATGATTAATAAAGAAGGCCAGACATTTCAGCTTGTGCACTCTTGTTTAATGCAGGGAATTGGATGACATAAATGAGACACAATATGTCAGGAGTATTAAGATTTTTTGCCATTTTTGTCTCGCCTTGGTTGAGTCAAAAAGTGAGACATAGGCATGCTGTCTATGGCAGGGGTTGTTGTCAACAATGTATTAGTTTATGATTAGGTCTAGTTTATGGTGAACCACAAGTGGTAGGTCAATCATATTTGGAATGCAGTTGTATTAGCATTGGCACATCTCATTTCCATGGAGATAATTGGGCCCGCAGCCCATTCAGTCATGGTCTATTGACTGAATCTTTTGCTTGTTTTACATATATTAATTTGTAATTAGGTCAGTTTATGGGGAGACACTATTGGTAGGTCAATGATATTTGGTATGCAGTTGTATAAGCATTGGCATATCTCATTTCCATGGAGATTATTTGACTCCACTCCCTTAGTCATGGTCTATTGACTTTGAAAATTTTGCTAAGTTAACATGTATTAGTTTGTGAATAGGTC